GGCGTCTTCGAATGTCTTTGTTTTGTCCGAACAACAGTCAGAAACACAATAGATGTTCAGTTTCGGATGATGTGAGAAAAGCAGCACGCTGACATATTTAAAAAGCTGAAACCAACACAGTCTAAATGCTGTAGTTCTTGCAGCTCTTTCAGCTCCTCCTCTTTTGGAGGAACAGAAGAAAAAAAAGAGTCCAGATTCTGATGTGCATTTTCTTTGAGATATTTGAAGGGGCCTTTTTTATAACGATGGTGTTGTCCTTTAGCTGAGGCGACAAACATGAACATCCTCAAGCAACCAGGGAACGACAGGAAGGGAGAAGCCTGCGCCCGAGGAGTCCGGTGTTCCATCGTGACGACTGAGCGTCTTGATTTGAGGAGTGATTGAGCTGTCAGACTTTACGGAGAGAGAGAGAGAGAGAGAGAGAGAGAGAGAGAGAGAGAGAGAGAGAGAGCAGAGGGCAATCACGGCGGGCCGCGGGTCTTATCACAGAGCAAGAACAAGAAAGAAAGATAACAGGGTGCCATAAAGAGTGACATCTGAACAATATCAGCGTGCGTTTGTGTGTGTGTGTCGGTGCTGTAGGTGAGCGTACACGCGTGTCATATTAAGCAGGAGATGTTTGTGGCAGCTGTTGGCCCTGTTTGAACAGCAATCACAATCAGCGGCGGCAGCAGCCGAGCGTGTGGTGGTGACAGCGCGACGGCGGTGGGAGACTCTCCGCCATCGCTCCCCCCCTGACCTTCTGCTCCTCCACTCCTCCTCCTCCGTTCCTCTCTGGCCTGCCCTCACTCTTCCCCCTTTTCGCCTGTTGCTTCTTCTTCTTCTTCTTCTTCAGTCAGCGGCGCTGCATCGGTTGCGCCACGGTCGAGGCAGGATCTGGATTGATTCCTCGCTCTCTCCGCTCAAGTTATTACGGCTTCAGGTCTCTTTCAATCCGACTTAAAAAAAAACTAAAAAGCGTCTCCGTAAAGCCGTGAAAACAATTTGCCCGTGTTCCTCTAGTGTGGCCTTATATTGCTCTTCTTCAATACTGGCTGGAAGTATGAAAAAAACAGCTTTGTAGTACTACTGCTTGGCTACCTGAGCCGGATTGCATTTCAGTGATTCTCTGCGGGGAAATTGGGTGGTTTCTGTAACAAAAAGTAGGATGCAGAAAAGAAAATACGGTTCAAAACACAACAGTTATGTTTTACATGTGTATCGTCACTGGCGCCGTCTGCGGTTTTGAGTTGACTCCCTTTCCTTCTGCCTCTCTTCGTTTTCCTGTTTTATAATAAGATGTGTCGCTTCACTTTTGAACATGCACTTTTTTTTCTCCCTCACAGTTATTAGTCTTAATTTAAAAACCTAAAATCAATTAGCAAACCAGGGTGCGCGACACAAAAAGCACAGTGAGATTAAGATAAAAATAATTAAAACGCCCAGATAAGTGCATTTTCAACTCGAGGGGCACTAGTCAGTGTTGCGTTAGCAAAATGACTTTCAACACTAATGAGATGACAGAATAAAATACAATGTGTGTATTCAAAATGACAATGCATGGGCGAAAAGAGAATATAAAGACAAGTGAATGGAAATGTCAGGAAGAGTCTACCCGTGTGTATAAAATGTCACATTTTATCTATGCAGTTCTGTGTGACATTTGCTACCAGTATTCTTTCCATCTCACGCCACCCTGTCTTTCTTCACCTGTTCCTCACTCCCCCCCCTCCTCCACTCTTCCGCCTTCTTCTCCACCATTCCTCACCCTCTTGGTATCCCTGCCTCTCCTCTCCAACTTCCTCTGTTGGTTCCCTTCCCCTCATCTACTTAGGGAGCAGGCTAAATCCATTGTTTGAAGTGGCCTCTTTCATTCAGTGAGAGGAGGAGAGGGGGAAGGGATGGAGAGGTGAGGGAGGTGGAGGTGGGGGTGTTCACTTGAGGATGGGAGAGAAGAAAGAGAGTCCAGCAGCGTCAGGCCTGTCAGTGTTTGTGGATCCCTTTTTCTTTGATTTTGGAGTCAGTGATGTCAGAGATCAGTTTTAACAAGGAAGTCAAATATTGAAGTGAAAATATTGACCAAACGGTACGTTGTTTCCTGGAGATTTCCTGTCGCTGTGGGATTCGAACTGAACACTGATGTCTTTTTATTGATTGGTTTCCTGTTGAAACCAAAATTAAATTGCATGTTTTTCGTTTTATTTTTTGCTACACCATATATACCTGCTCTGTGCATCCCTCAAAGGGGATGAATTCATATTTTACTTTTTTTTTTCCATCCACAAAGACTAAGATCTATCAAACTATTTCATTTTAAACTTATATATATATATATATATATATATATACTTATATGTACTCATGATGTAGATGCACTAGTCCCTTTATTATAGACACTCAATCATTTACTCTGTAGTGAGCAGAAAACGGAGACCCTAATCATTTTTCATCATCATTTACAAGTTTGAATCATACAAATCATACAATTGAATCATACGTAAAAGGAAACTCCCTGCATCACAGGATCATTTGCAGAAATAATATCACTAAATACATTTCACATCCAGACACTCAGATGAAATGGCAGAGGGTAAACGTAGCGGCAGTATAGTAAATAGGGAGTGGACTTTGAAAAACGACCCACGACAGCTTTCCTGATATTGTCTCCTCTTTTGTCATGAGCAACCGACTGAACGTTCAGCACGGAAAAATGCACCGCTAGCGTAAGTTAGCAGTCAGCTAGTCAGCTACAGCACATTAAACATCGTAAATAAAGGTGCAGTCAGCGAAGATGCTGGTGAAGCCCTTAAGGCCTTTACACAGCGGGGGCGTGACGAATAAAAGACACCAAAATGTCGAATATTTTGCATCAAAACTATTCATAACGGCAGCGATGCGAATTTGCGAAAGTTGCTATTGACCCAGCGCAGCTTTAGTCAGTCTGTCAGAGGTAAATTGTTACATAGCCTAAATTACTGTCAGCGTTTCTAATGAGTTTCCTTTTAGTAAAAGTGAACGTGAGTTCCCTCATGGTGAACAGTTACACGTGTCTATGTCTAGGGCTTTTATTTTGAAAGTGGAAAAAAGAAGAAGCGGATCTGGTATGGGCTGTCTTTGTGAAAGTTGAAGGGAGTGTGTGTTTTGAATTTATCCGTTCCGCACCACACGATTGGGGGCTGCCTTTATGCGCGGTGGAAAAAGCTCAGAAAAATCGGCGTTGTTCCATCAAAAGACAAGGTCGCTATTTTCTTGCTGCGTAAAATATTCACGACAAAAACGTGCGCAAAATAGGCCCCCAGTGTGTACAGGCCTTTACTCTTCATTACCACCGCTAAGAAAACACTGTTGAGAGCTACAGCGCAGGTTTGTCTACTACAAGCATTCAACCGTCAACCACTGACATGCCCCGCCTACTGCTAAAGTTCAAATAATTTCCCATTTTGATTATTTAAACTTTTATATGTAAAAATGTACTCTGAGTCAAGCTCATTTTACTTTTTGTTGTTACCCTGTCCTGAAAAAAAAAATGTAATTTATGAAAAGCGAGTTGTTCAAAACAGAAAAAGGCCGTTTAGCCAAAGCCGCTCGGCCCTCAAGACATGCAGGTTGTGAATCACTATTGGCTCATAGAATAAATGATGTGTCTGCCTGTCTGTCGGTCCGTCCGTCTGTCCTCTGACAGACTAGCATCTGAGCTGTCAGGCTCGCCCCGCCGCACAATGATAAGAAAGGATTTATTTCAATAGCGCTGACAAAGGGCTGTCAGCATAAAGGGAAATACGGATTCATGCAAATAAAGGTTCATGCTGTAAAAACTGGAAGGTCAGAGACAAGATCTGCTTCATGCATGAGTGCGTCGCTATATGGTACAAACTACCGGCAGCGTTTATTTTAAGTGCAGCACGCGGGAGTGAAGGGCCTCGGTGGCTAAACGGCGTGACTCCTTTAATCTAAAAAAGATCAATTACAAAAACAGCTTTTTATTGATTTATTTCATTGAATTATTTGTAATCTCTCAACTCGAGAAAAGGCAGATCAGCAAGATTATAATTGCATTTAACCTGAAAGAGTCCAGCATGATAGCAGCTACTTTTTTAGCATAACAAGGCGAGGGGGAACTATAATTAAAGATCTGCCGATTGACAATGCAGAGAAACATTTGAATGCTAATTACCCCCCGCATTGTAAATGCAACACACCTGTATTTACTCATCCGCACGCGTCTTTAGCGCGACGTTTGTTCAGAACAGCGCATGTTAATCTGTCTAGATGCGTGACACGTGCACGTGAGTCCATATACCGAAACACAGAGCAGAACAGCGCGTTCAGTTTCACATGTCTTAATTAGTAACTATTCACTTGCTCGCGTGTCAGACGGGGACGCACTGCGGAGGGAAAAGCTTGCGGAGCGGCACGCAGCATTGTTCACGTTTGACTGCATTTCTATCAGTCCTTTCAGTCTGCACCCAATGCAACCAGCAGATAATTATGTATTGCTGCGTGCAGATTCGTACGCCTATTTGGTGTGTGTGTGTGTGTGTGTGTGTGTGTGTGTGTGTGTGTGAGAGAGAATGACTATACTGCGGTTCACGATTCACACTTTTCCCTCGAAGGTCGACGTGGAGTTCTTTAGCGAGAGGCGAAGCGCTCCCTCGTCCACCTGCACACCGTGAGTAACTGTCGGCACGTCGGCCTTCTGTCGTCTCCTTGTTTTCTTGTGTCTCCGCGCACTTCATCGTGTTGTTTCTCTGGTTTATTTTTAATTGTTATGTTATTCATTTGATTTGCCTGAATGTTAGACCTTTTTTCGCACGTTCCTCCATGTGTGAAGTCCGTTACGAGTCTGCATGCGGGTGTGAAAGCGCACGTGCTCCGAGGTGATCATCTCCCGCCTCGTCACGTGCACGACTTCAATTGGTTTGTGTGATTGTGCGTTCTTTGTTTGATGCTTCCAGCAGTGCGCGTGTGTGTGCAGCGTACTTTTTCAAGCATGATGTGTGTTTGCTAAATTCGTGCGTCCTTGTGTTTCTCTGCATGCATGTGTGTGTGTGTGTGTTTATAATCCAAGGCCATTCAATAGCACCACATGGATCTATCCCATATCCTGGTCGCCATGGTTACCGGGGCCACTTATCACAGAGGGTCCTGGCAGATCAAACAGGTGTGCATCCTGACGATGTCTCTCCTCGACTGTTGCTAGGAACCTTTGTTGCACACAATACACAGGTGTTTGTGGCCGCCAGTGAAAAACCATTGTCTTAATGTCCCAGTCTGAACTGATGTGTGTGTGTGTGTGTACATGTTGTCCTCGTGGGAGACAGTGTGATTTAATTTCTTCTGAAAGAGGATGTTCTTTGTCAAAATAAGGGTGGGAAAAAAAGAGTTCATTTTGTGGGTCATCACTTGCTACTTTAGACCTGGAGCTGCGGTAGAGTTCATAATGGATTAGGGGTTAAAGTTTAACGTTTTCTCTTTAACATCAAAGGGGCACTTCAGCAATTTAGTACCGAAGTTCCATAATGTTGGGGGACTTGCATGAGACAGATTTAAAAAATAATTCAATGCATCAGAGGCCGAGGCATCCTAATTTTTAGTTCCAAATATGAGTGAAGCTTCAAAAAAGTCACATCCTTCAATTGCCAGAATGCAACTCAATAGCAGATTACATTAGACCTGCCCTACTTAGATACCTCATCTCTCCGTCATCGCTACCTCTATAGCCACTGAAGACATTCTGCAACTCAAAGCCCCTTCGAATATTCATTGCTAAATGTGCGAAGTTCAATTTCAGGGAGAAAACATCCTTAAAAGAGGTTAACCCTCAAAAACTCTGTTTAACTTCTTCATCAGTGCGAAACAATCACTGAGTGTGATTTGATCAGATTTGATTCTGGAAACAGCAGCATTGCAACCCCATAACTGTCACCACCGAGTCAGATTTAGCTAAATCTTGTTTGGTGCGTAGAAATGCACGACATCGTCTTTTCTTTTTTTCCAGCCGAGCTCCTTGGCTCCAAACTCGATCTAACTTTTGTGGTCCTGTAAGACGTCAGAAACTCATTGTAGGTTTTCAGAGCGTTGAACAGTTACTGTTATTTATTTACTTTAGGACTGAGACATGAGGTAAATGGTTGGCCACAACTTTAAATTTAAATTGTCAAAATTGAGACGCTGGAGATTCAGTCCAATGACTCAGGAAGTATAAAATCCAAATTTAGGAGTGACGTTCAAACTGTCTCCTGAACAGCAATAAGCTTTTGGTCCAGTGAAGGACGGAATCACCTACGAAGAGCTTCAGCCCCCCCCCCTCCCCCCCCCCAAGAAGATTTGGGTGTAGGGTCAGCGAAATTATGTAGTAAACAGGAAGAGTGAAGGGGGGGTGGAGAAAAGGGTGTGGAATGAAATTAAATGATCCTTGATACCCGGCCAGAGAGCTAGAAATCAAATTGCAAACCTGTGAGGGCTTTTATTTTATTTTTCTCGACTTGCACTCTCCACTCCACTCCTCCCTCCCGGCCTCCACACAAAAGCGCCTGCCCTCCTATTCACCCTCCTGTCCGTCTCTCCATCCTCCAGCTCCCGCTTTAAACCCGCGAGGCATCACACTGTCCTTAAAGTTACGCCCCCCCC